TTTTTTTTTTCTCTCTTTCGTATATTTTGTTCTATGCTCATCATTATCATTCTCATCTCTGTTATACAAAAAAGTAAAAAAAGAAAAATGAAATTTAAAAATATTTACGGTAAATATTTCTAATAATAATATAAGGTATGATTCCCTGTGTATGTGCGTATGTATTTGAGACAAAATACCATTTATATATATGTGATATTATTATTATAGTACTTGGGTATTTCAAATAAAAATATTTTTCTTAAAATTCAGATTCTATCCTTGTTTCTTCAGGGTTGAATCTAATCTCTTAACTTTGATTTGATTTACATTTTATACCATATACGTACATACATATTACTTATGGTTACTGCTGCTATTACTGCCAAGGTGATAGCTGCACATATTTTATATTATTTACATTTTCGTATATATATATATATCTGTTATACATTAATGTTATACATTAAAAGAGAGGAAAACAAGTATTTTATTCTCTCATTTTTTTTTTGTTTTTTTTTATAGGTTAAAGATGATGAAAATAAACATCTGGATTATTGTAGCTTGCCTTATGAGTTTTTAATCTTGATAATATGGTTTTTGTCGTTTGATCATTTGATAAATACAATAATGGTAAATATGTATAGAAGATATAAAATATAAGGAATGTATATATAGGACCCAATCTGATAAACAGGAATCAAAATCATTATTATATAGAAAGAAAAAAACAATTTTATACGAAAAAAGTTTACTTAGAATAAAGTAATATTGCTGTGGTGGATTTCCAAAAAATTATTTTCTGTAATTATTATGGTAGATATAATACAATAAATAGGTAGAAAATATTTTTACACACCTCTTAATTTATTTAAATCGATTGGTATAACGAGAAAAGAACAATATAAAATAGGTACCAAAAATATTATACAGATGCCTAATGATAATTTTCTTCTCTTATATACCATTATATTAGAGTATAATATAATAGTAGGTATTAAATGTGTTTACATTTTAGTTATTAATTGCTCCTGTTTATGGTAATGATTACAAATTAGGTTCACGATATAAGTATAATTATTGTTTAGGTAAATATTATTATCTTGTGTTTATTCTAATTTTTTTTTGTTTTTGCAAGGATATCGTAATTTCGCATATAAGAGAGAAGAAAAAAACTCACACTAATATTTTTATCACAAGAAGAAAGAAAAAAATGGAAAAAAAATCAAAGAAAAAAAATAATAAAAATAAAATTATAAAGAAAATTTATAGTTGTAATTAAAAGAGAAATATAATGAGAGGAAGACAAACAGAGAGAGAGAGAAAGTTTACATTTATTTAACTACAAGGTAAATTCGTAAATGAAAAGAGGATGAATGCAAAACAATGACACACAATAAAAATAAAAATAAAAGAATTTACATTAGAGAGAATGTGGTTAGTGGTGACACTAATTTTTATTTACATATCGTATATATTAGTTGGTGTGTATTATCGAGAGATTTAATATGTAAATAAATATATAAGTATGCATTATTATTGTTGTGTACTTTGAACTTAAATAAAGTTAATTTCACTTAAGACTTATAATGTTGCATTACTGTTGTTCTTGGTACAATACTAAATTTGTTTTGTGGTCGCTGTTTTGCGGTGAAATTTTAATTGAGCATAGCATAAATAATTGGGATTAAAATTAGAAAGGTGTTGAAATTTAGTGTAACGTTTAATACCAATCGGATGGTATAAAAAATTTTACAATGGTATTTTCTTTATCTCGCATAATTAGTCTTAAAGATTAATTTTTCTTTTCCCCTCAAAAAATAATTTTTAAATAGGACCGTCATGTGTTAGGATCACTATCAGTATAATTATAAAGTTCAAAAGAGAATATGAAAAATTTATGTTTGTTTATTTAATTGTAATTTTCATAATTTTTATTTTTAAAAAAATTATGATTTTAATTTCATTTGTTTATGATTAAAATTTTTCTATATTTTAGTTTTCAGAAAGAGCAACGAGGACCTTTGTATAATAGAAAACCAGGATTATATTGACAAAGCAATATTGAAAGAAAAAGTGTTATGGTACCTGAACGATCTACAAACATTCGACGTAAATACAAAAGGTCACAGAGTGAAAACTAGAATAAGAAATTAAAGAAACAATGTAAAACAAATTAAAGAAGACTTATAGGATATTTTTGAAGAAGCATATCGTAAAACGGTAACTACAAGTCTCTAAAACTTCAACGTAATAATTTAATATCCTTGTAGATAGTACGGCAGCAATTGGAGCTCTCGAATCCTACCCAGGTTAGTCAGTTTTGTCTTCAAAGTGTTACTAAACGCACTTTGCCTTTACTATATGAACAACTGTCTTACGGGGAGCTTGAAGCACTTTGGAGTACGGGGATCCTGACCTAGTGAATGGATCAGTGCATCTTCTGTTGGAGCAATTTATTAATATTATATACATAAAGAAACTAAATGGGGACGACATTTTCTGGATGGGATGTCCAGAACGCTGTGGTCTTGTAGGAATCAGAGGAGAATGAAGTCGCTGTTTGAATGCGGTTGGAATGGTCTCAACCGGGGCACTGTTTCTTGAGTAAAAAAAGGCAAGACTAGGTGTCGATACAATGGATGTGTGTCGGGTATGTCGGGTATCTCCGATGTGGAAAAGGAAGCGGATCTTAGGTAGTGGATGTTCTTCTTCTTGGCCTTGTGCATAGGTTTCATGTGTGGGTGGCACTGTGGGGTTCTCCTCTCTTATTAAGAGTTAAGATATAATTTGAAAAAAGTTCATAAACAGACATTAGGAAATTTTCTAATGTCTGTTGCAAAATATACACAGTACTATTAAAAATACACGTTTTTACAGCTGACGTAGCTTCTGTAAACTGTTTACTTTTATATACCTATTCAAAGCAAAAATTAATATTTCATTTCTTAAATCCGAAGTCAGATAAAACTATAAAAGGCCGAATACAAACATCAACAATTTTTATATTAATTTAAACAAAAAATAATTTATTGATTTTAGTTTTTTAACTTTCTGATTACCATAATTATTGTGAATATTTTTATTTGCTTAACAAATTGTATAACTATTCGTATATTCTTGTGCGACATCATGACGAAGATTCGAAATTAGTTTTTCATTTTTTCCTCTTCAATGAATCAGAAATTAAAAACTCTTTGATAAGGCGTCATCAATAGAATTAATTTAATAACAAAAAAAAAAATGTCAGAAAAAAAAGAATAAAGGTTATGATATTAAATATTAAATTATTATGATTTTCTTTTGTCAGTAATTTAAACTTAGATCTTAATTAATTAATTACTGCAATATTAAAAAGACTTAAGAATTTTCATTTATATTTTGTGTTTTATTTGCACATCAACTGTACAAATTCGTATATAGTAGAATCTACAGGGTCGTACATCTTTTTAATAAAATGAAATTTAAAAATTATGTCATAATTGTTTGAATCATTTTTGCATCAAAAAATATAAAATATGTAATATTATAAATCAGTAATTAATTATTAAAATTTCTTATTTGATTGTGTGTGTAATAGCTATATTGTTGTCCTTGTACTATGGTACTTGTTATACAATGTACATATATAAATATTTATTATTCATTCGAATATTAAGTGTATTTGTCACACTATATTATAATTTATAATAAAAAATTAAATTGGGCAATCTTAAAAAAAAATTGGGTTAATAAACTTTCGGCAAAAAGAGTTTATATTCTTCTTCTTTTGATTCCATTTTATACACTTAAAATATCATAATTTTTGTATAGAAATATTATAGACATTAATTTATTTATATGTAAGTTTTTATAAATGATTCACAATATAATTTTCGTCTCGCAGACATCTTCAACAGCAACAACAGATTATTTTTTTATATTGTACACAATATTGTTAATTGAATTTCCGTTTAATTAAGTTCATACGTTTTTGCGTGTAAACATGTCTTCTAAATAAGAATATTTGTGTCTATAGTACATAATTTTTCATATTATTGAGGTATGTTAAAAATCAGATTGAACTTGCAGTATAATATTTATGCCATGTTATAGTGTTTTCGTTTTATATTAATATAATAAATTTAAATTAACTATTTATTGATGCTTATATTTATATAAGATTTAGATGAATAAAATATTTAATTCACTAATTTATCAGCTATATTACAATAGTTATGACTATTGAGTAGTCAGCTATATTAAAATATGTCTGACTTTCGATGGGGTTGAAATAAAGTTTTATAAATTACTCTTGTAATTGAATTTTCTATATAATTATGTAAATATAAGATGCACATTTTCATATTGTTATTTGAAATTTACTGTAGTTCATTAGTGAAATGGAAGTGACCAACAAATAAATTTGATTGTTTTTGCTGAAAATAATTAATTTTAATTACAATTATTTTAGTAACCACCAGGTTCAGGGATACTTTTGGACACTTCAAAAATATTCAACGTAGATCTGTAAACGCACAAACTGAAAACTAAGTTTTGTCATCGAGGGAAGCCGTAAAAATAACCAAAAAATAAGCTAAAATGAAGATTACAAGTGAAAGTCCTGTTTTATAATTAACATTAACATTTTTTATAATTAATAGTAAAAAAAATTATATAAAAATTACAATTTTGCATATTTTTAGGTGCTGTGAACGAATTTTATATGCGGATACATTATAAAGAATGAAAATGAAAGACCAAAACGGAGCTCTTGATGAATTATATAAGACGCTACTTCAAGGGAGCAAAGGGCGATATTATTAATTTGTTTTAGTATACGTAATTTAATTTAGAAAATAAGTACATAATTGATGACATTGAATTATTTTGCGTTAAATAACATCTGACAAGATTGCTTTAATAAAATAAAAAAACACTAATATTACATTCAAGACTAATTAAATACACAATTAACTACACAAATTTTATTATTATATTTACGTGCAAATATATATTTAAAGTTAAATTATTGTTCTTACCATTAAATTTGTTTAAATTGAAAACTTTTCTTCGTAATTATTACAGCAAATCAACAATATTCCATTTATAAATTTTTAAAAAATTTCCAAGTTTCGCATAATTGAATTTATTATTAATAGCTATGTTTAAATAAATCTTCTATATTTTTGTTATTTTTGCTCTTTTTTCTCATAAATTGTAAACAAAATTAAAAATAAATCAAATAACTTTTATTGTAAAATTCATTTAAAATTTCCTATTATTAAATTATTATGTATTTAAAAAATTAGAACAAATAATATACTTTAGTTTTGCTAGTTTGAAATGGCCTTCATCTTTTGCTAATACTAAAAACAAATAATTTATTTAATATTGTATTTTTAAATACTTAGTTTTATACTAGAACTTCGGTAATTTTATACAGATTACAAATAAGTTTTATTTCCTCTTTTTTTTGAAATTTACACATTTTATATTTTTTTATATTTATTTTCTAATAGATAAGAAATATGTAGTAAGAAACGCAGTCTAATGCAATCTAATCTTATAATAAACGTAAAATGCAAGTTAAATATAGTTTGAATAATGAATTGTATAATTAAGTAAACAAAATATTAATTTTCGAACAAATTTACACTATAATAATAATTTTTTTTGTGTTAAACATTTTAATCACTTCAAATAACATCATAAACATTTCATTCAAAAATTTTAATTTTTTATTTTGAAATAATATTTTTCAATTTATTCGAATTTTAAATAATTCTCGATTCAAAACACTTTAATTTATTTCGATTCGTTTAATTGTTTCATAATTTTAATAAAATTTAAAAAAAAATGTTCTTGTTTAATTAATTTAAATAAATAATTAATAAGAAATTTTAAATATTACAGAACAAATACAGCTGATTTTTTAAAAAAAATTCAAATAAACCGGTGATACGCGCTCTCTCTACCGTTTTAAAAGAATTTATTTTCTAAACTGATTGTATTATGTTCTATGAAAGCTTAAAAAAGTCTCTAAGCCAAAAGCTACTGCAATGGCTGATTGAGCTAAATATTATAATTTATGTAATCATCTCACATTTATCAATTGTTTGTTATTGTGTACAATATTTAACTTAGTGGTATGCTCTTAATACAATATGCTCACATGATTTATATGTAGGTGTTTATATGAACGTAAATATTTTTTTTTGTATATAGTCAAAATTGTTATCATAATTATCACATGTAATAATAAAGTATGAACTCTTTTATAGGTATACAGGGTGGTACGGTCTTAATGTTAAGGCTCTCGGCAGATGATTCGATGGAATTTTTTTAAGGAAAATCATACTTTTTAGAGACAATTAGCGTTTTTTGAAAAAATTTTAGATTTTGGATACAAAATTTTGTGTCTATTACTTGAAAATGATAAGTCTGACACTATTTATCGGTGTCAACTGTTATGTAGGTCTATCAATTGACATAAAAGTTTCTAAACACAGCTTCGCTCTAGCTTCAACAGATTCTAAGCTATAACGGACAGAATTTTGGATAGTTGAATGGACATATATGTCGAACAGAATTATTTTAATCCAATTTTTTTTTACCTTCCAAAACTACCCTTGACGTTTTCGCCTTCCTCCTCCTCATTCATACGATTTTTTTTTCTAAAAAACTCCAACGAATCACCTCCCGAGCGCTTTAACATTTGGAATCGACCACCCTGTATAATAAAGATAAATTATGAAATGTGTGATTGTTGATGCACACAAAATGTTAAAACCGATCATATAAGTTAAGTGTATACTATAATTTTTTTTGTAGGTGTGAAAAATATCATTCTCATCAAAATATCATCAGAGGTACCAAAAAAGCTTTTCCATGAATTTAAAAATTTAAAAGAAGAAGAAAAAAACAGAAGCAAAATAAAATTTTTTGGAATAAAAGTTGATTGTTTTTAGAAATCTATAAACTATATTTTATGTACATTATGCAATTTTTATTAGAAATAATAGAAATACGTGCAACTGCAGTTAAAAAATTAAAAAATCCAGAGCTTTAAAATTCACATCATTTGTGAATAATGCGAATCCCTAACAAAATGCGTTCAGAATTTAGTTAACCAAATTTTTTAATATTTTTATATTTTTAGAGATCGTTTGGCGTAATATATATTTGGAAAACACTGTCAATTTTGAGCAAGACTAGTAAGCAGTGGAATACACTTAGACATCATTAACAATTTTTCTAAATATTCATTGAAAATACAGTGATATGTTATCGTGAATTACAATGACTCCAGAGTACAAGTGGCTAATAATAGAAGACAAGTGGTTTCAATAGATCGACGACATGCGTCGATCACAAATATCAGATTATTGACACCAAAATTAAGCTAAGTATATGACGATTTTCGTGCAAGTTCGTGATGTTTGATAGTTTTAAATCATTTCATAAATATAAATAAAATAACCAATCGGCAACACATCCTGGCTTACTGAACAAAACGTTAGTTTTTGTAATTTGTGGCAAATAGCAATATTTAAGAATATAGGCAATAGTTAAACATCCAAAATGTACTTTGTCTAGAAGTAGTCGTGGCGGTCGCATTACTTAAATCACTCTCAAATTATTAAAATTTAATTTTTTTTTTATTTTTTACAATTTTAGGTTCACTGTATAAAATATCATTGAAGCTTCACTGTATAAAATATACGATAATTGCACGGAATGGTGCTTGCGTAGTACTGAATAGTTCACGAAACAATAATGCTTCTTATCATGCTCATCATTTAAGGCACAAAAAGTTTACATGAACAGAAAGAAGTTAAAAGTTGATTAAAAAAATTTTTTCCAACAAAATGCATTCTACGTGATCATAAATTAGATTAATTACTCAATACTTATTAAAAATTAATTAAACACTTTTAAATAATTTAGAAAAATCTTAAAATTAAGCTATAAACTATACAAGTTTTCTTTAAGCAAAAGTTAACAACTATGTGTGATAAAATGTACGTATATAGAGGAATTGGAAAACCTTGAGTTAGTTACAAAAATTAAAAATCGATAATTGATTTAGAAACTTAATTAGAATCTAATTCGTTAAAAATTAATTTGAGAATTTTATAAAATTTAAAATAATTATAGAATCTTAAGTCTGATTATGTAGTCGCAACACGATAGCAGTGAAACAGTAATTTGAATTTATTTCTGGTAACTTTGCTGTTTAAGAACAAGAGTTCAATTCAAAATTTATCTATTTTTTATTTAATTTAAAATAATTTCAAACAATGTTTTATTTAATAATTAATTTCTACAGCGACTATCTATTTACGAGTATATTACTGGTTTAACATAAAATGTTTTATATTAAATCAGTTTTTTTATGTAATTTATTTATTAATTAATGAAAAGTACAGTAAAAATATGCAACCGTTCGGTCAAATAGGCATTAGTAGGAACTAATAAGTTTACAAAATTAATTAAAACTAGTAAAATAATAAAGAAAGCAAGTTCAATGAAAAATAAACTATTATGTAACAATAAAATTAAAAACATCAATGCGAGAAACCCATCATCAATACGAGACATTGGAATGATCCAAACTGTTAAGCTCTTTAAATATTAAAAATATTATTAGCTGCTGAAAATGTTATATGTACACCAATAAGAGGCTTGAATTAAGATTGGAATAAGTCGGCTGTACTTTGCCTAATGGGGAGGCCAAATAAATTTTCTTAAATTTTGTTTTTTAATAAAAGCTGGTAATTTCAGTTCAACTTTAATGAGAAATTTTATGTAGAATTCGCAAAATAATTAATATTTCGATATCTGAAATATATTAAAGATCATAACCAATTTAAAATAAAGACGAATTAAATAATCGTAATTGTTAAACACTAGCCAATTAAATAAGATATGACAAAAAAGGAGTAAAACTACAATGCACAGTTGTTATTGCACACATTTTATTCGTATGTATTTTTTAATCCATTTTAATTTGAGTATTAATAGTAGTTGTTTATTGCTATGAATTTGTTACTACATATATATAAAAACAAAAAACCTATAGTACAGAAATTGTATAAAATATAAATCATTTTAAACCCTATATAATCCTTTTAATATCCTTACTTAATTCATTGTATTAATAGCAATTCATATTATATAATAGTTGTAATAAAATAAATTTCATTCCAGTTTCATATTATGAATGATGACCATCCACATAGCCACTATTTGTTATAATAAATTTTTATTATACGTGTATCTATATTTGTGTACCCATAATAAAATATAATGACATTCTTTTTGCAGAAAATTTAAATAAAGTAATTGTTATCAAAGTATAAGGATTACGCAGCACATACCTGAAAAAAAGGATGTTTTAAAAAAAAAAAAATCTAGAAACACTACCATAGGATTATGAAAGAATTCTAGAGCCAATTGGAAAGTTTTGTATAGCAGTTTGTACCCAGTAATTTTGTACGATAATCTTCCTCCATAACATGAATTGGATTTTGCAAATATTCAAGGAAAAAGATTGCCTTTATTTTCACATTTTATAGCCGAACAAATTGATATCCTACATAATATACTATGGAAAACAATATTATGCTATGTAAAGCAGCGTAATTAATATACATGTATGCAGCTGGAGTCATTATACAAAATTCCATGTTAATATAAAGGGCATTGTCATGAACAGAAGCTTAAAACGTTTATATAATTGCAACCCAAGAATTGGTTTACATAAAAGGATAAAGGAATTATACATAAAAACGAATGAACTAGATATAAACCAACTCATATATTTCGAGAAATGCAAATATGTTTTTAAAATAACAAATACCTTACATAGTTATAATACAAACCAGAGGCATCTTATGGTACCAAAAGCAAATACATTTATGAAATTGAAAGGCCTAAAGTGCAGTACAATAACATTACCGGATGACATTAATTATTTTTAAACAAATTAAATAAGCCCAAAAGTATAGGCGAAAAACATACATTATAAATTTTGAAAGTGAAGAAAGTAATGTGGTTTTAAAAAAAAATAGTTTTAGTTGAAATTTCTTATACACAATTTTATATAAATTCTTTGAAATTAA